GAGATTGGTTTTTTGGACTCAACAAGCAGAGCTAGACAGGAAGAAGGATCGATAAGGACTTTAGACTGCTCTTACGGATTTTATGCGTCCTTAGTCCAGTCGATAAGCCGCTGTTTTCTAATTGGTGGTATTATTATGTTGTATGTTGATTGGTCACAGGTCACAAGTTATAACACCGTATACGTTAAATACAAGAAGACATGACATGACATAATTAATAAATCTCAATAGTTCATCAACTAGAACAGATTGTTAGTTAATGGACTTGTGATTTATAAACGATTAAAATAATATAATAATTATTAATGAGTTAAAAATAAAGGCTTTACATATTTGGGCAGCATCATTGATGAACATGGTGGATCTGATGCATATATGAAGGCGCGGATCGGCAATGCAAGAGCAGCATATCTACAACCGGAGAACATCTGGAACTCAAAACAACTGTTTGTCAACCAACACCAAGGTCAGGATTTTCAATACAAAAAACAAGACAGTTCTACTGTATGGGGCGGAAACATGGAGAACTACGAAAGCCATCATCCAGAAAATACAGGTGTTTATTAACAGTTGTCTACGCAAAATACTTTGGATCCGTTGGCCAGACACTCTCAGCAACAACCTAGTGTGGGAGAGAACAAACCAGATCCCAGCGGAGGAAAACATCGGGAAGAAGCACTGAAAATGGATAAAACACACATTGCGGAAAGTACCCAACTGCGTCACAAAACAAGCCCTCACATGGAATCCTCAAGGCCAAAGGAAAAGAGGAAGACCAAAGAACACATTACACCGAGAAATGGAAATAGACATGAAAAAAATGAACAAGAATTGGATGGAACTAGAAAAGAAGGCCCAGGACAGAGTTGGTTGGAGAATGCTGGTCGGCGGCCTATGCTCCATTGGGAGTAACAGGCGTAAGTAAGTGAAAGGTTTCAGGTTCGAGTCCTGGGTACAGAATCATGATTTCTAGTTGATGAATTCATATTCATGCAAACAAAAAAAGAACAGCCTCTCAAGGTTTTCAATGGAATATACATTAGAAAATATCCATTATAGTGATTCAATATAAGTAACATTAGAGATAAATGAATAATATCCATTCAAATCAATAAGATACAAATAAGTATGTATAAATCACGTATTACATAATTGAGATTGTGCTGGAGAAAAGAAACAAACACACACACTAAATAACTGAACTAAATTAAACTAAAGTTGGTGTTATATAATAGTTGTAATCACTAAAGAAATGAGTGTTTGTTTATGTAAATAGAAATTGTGTATGATTTATAAATGAAAATTCTAATAAGTTTACTAGTAAATTCATATGTCTCATTACACTTTAAATAGTATTCTTTACATAGACAATGATAATGTTATTGTGTAAAACGATTTAGATGGTTGAATGTACTTTACGCCTGCTACTCGTCGTGGAGCAGCATAGGCTGCCCATTAGCACTCTCCATCCAACCCTGTCCTGAGCAATCCTTTCCACTTGTTATTCATCCTTTTCATATCTGCTTCTATTTCCCGACGTAATGTGTTCTTTGGTCGTCCTCTCCTCCTTTGACCTTGAAGACTCCAAGTGAGGGCTTGCCTTGTGACGCAGTCTGGTGATTTGTGTAATGTATTTCCTATCCATTTCCATCGTCTTTTCCTGATTTCATCTTTAGCTGGAAGCCAGTTGGTCCGCTCTCACAGTAGGCTGTTGAGGATGGTGTTTGACCAACGGATGTTGAGTATCTTGGGTAGACAACTATTTATAAATACTTGATAATGGTTGTAGTGGTTCTCCATGTTTCAACTCTGTACACTAGAATTGTCTCGACGTTCGTATTGAAGATTCTGACTTTCATATTGGTTGACAGTTGTTTTCAGTTCCATATGTTCTTCAACTGCAGGAATACTGCCCTCAATTTACCGATCCTCGCCTTTGCGTCTGCATCACATCCTCCATCTCCATCCAGTGTGATTGGGTTAGTGTTCTCTGTATTGTATTTGAGGATCTTGGTTTTTCCTTCGTGTATGTTGAGGCCTACTGATACAGATGATTGGAAGTAGTCAACAGTAAACCCAGTTTGACGTAGGTTTCGTGCTACATGACACTCGTTAGTAAGGTATACCTATAATCTTGAAGGAACTGATACTCACTGATGGATTCATTGCCGTACCACCCAGCTTCCAAATTCAGAGACGTTATCACTGAACTATCCGGAGCGCGTCTGACACAAAATGTTGAGTCACCTAGACTAGTGGTCACATTGCAACTTGTTTGATAGGATTCGATATGTACTAAAAAAGACCTGACATTGATCATCACCCAGTGATCAATCAATTGTATATTACCTTAATCATCAACTGTAAATCATAATTCTAATTCCTTTATACAAGTTTATAATCCTCATTTGGTCTTAATTATTAGGTAAGCATTCTCAAGATCAGTCTAGCATCGCTCGAAGATCGTTCATAAATTATAGTCTCATCGAAAAATCTTTTAATAATCTATAGTTACCAACCAATGATATACTCAATAGGATTTGACTATAACAAACAACAATTACAAATGAAATCAATTTCCATTAAATCATTTTACTTCTTCAATAAGAATGTCCATACTTGAAAGTGTTTCAAGGAATTATCATCATCATTATAACAAATCATAATAGAAAGCACATGATATTGATTTAAGTATTAACCTTGAAATAGTGAATTACACATGATTGTATTCTACTTTATTGTTGTATTGAATCTACATGTGAAATATAATAATAAGACTTTTATTACAAGTAAGTGAAACAATATTGAATGATTTTCATATTGTGATCTACCTTTAATTGATTCATGAATTCAATTATTAAAATGACTACAATCTTTACAAAACCCTCTTTCTGATATGAATCAATATGCGCCCATTAGTGACCGGGTTCAAGATGGATTCCGTGGAGTTCTAGTGAGAAGCTATGATTAGTGAAGTTCAACTGAGTTTGTTGTGAGATAATAACTCAATGAAGACAATGGTTTATGTTTCACTCAATTTCTGGGATTAGTTGAAGTGAAAAATTAGCACTATTGGATGCCGGCTCAGTGGTCTAGTGGTTAAGCGCTCGCATGCGAGACTGATAGGTCCTGGGTTCGAATATTGCAAGGTGGGATCGTAGATGCACACCGCTGAGGAGTCTCATAGTAGGACAAAACGGCCATCCAGTGCTTCCAGGTTTTTAAATGGTGGTCTAGCTTCAATTGACTCATGATCTCAACTATTAAAAATCGCTGTAATATTCGCAAAACCCCTCCTGATATAATCGACATGTCATTATATAATCCGGGATGTGATACTACTCGGGTGCTCAAACCGAAGCAGGTGGTTTTCTTAGAAAGCCACACCCCGAGCATTGGGGCAACGTAAAGAGATGCAGTCCCATGGTAGCCGGTGACCAACAAATTGTTCACACGCCATTTGTTCCCTTAGGATCCTGGAGCCCATGTATACCATTGGTTTGCAATCAAGGTTTCCCAGCCCTCCTAGATGGATCCTCCAATCAGGTTAAAACGATGAACATTGGCTATTTGTCCTCTCAATTTCGTAAACAACACCCCTACCACGAGAAGGCGATCAGTAGGACTTATCTGGCAGTAGTTGTATGCTCATAGCCACTTGAGAACATTTCGAGAGGGAGCACTGACTCGCCCCACTCTCAAATGCACCAGAGTATTTAAGGCCAAAGCATTCTTCTGTTCTATTCCTGACCGCAGTTTAAACTTTTAACTCTACATCTGAAGCCGAACTCCTCATGTTAACTTAAACATTTATATTCTAACTATTATAAAATTGGTTTTTCTTTATAAATAAGGCTCATCATTGTCAGTAAATTAGTTTCAAATTGAATAATCTCCAAGATATTCACAATCTCGTTGAAAAATCTTTTGAATATAATTCTATCATTATGAGCAGAGATAGATTATTTCCTGTTGACTACCTCCAACCACCATCTAAATCTTAATACATAGTGCCCGCAGTGTCGAGTCACCTAGACTGGTGGCCACATTGTAACATGATCGATAGCATTCGATCTGCAGTAATAAGGACTAGACAAGCATGACATTGATCACCACCCACTGATCAATCAATTGTAAGAGATAGATGATGACTAGCAGTGAAACTCTAAGATAACAACTTCTTATTTTCATCTATATTAATTACAAAGAAATAAATCAGTCAAATTTTTATTGACACTTTACCGTTTACAAAACTGATATCTTGATGCAGTAATAATTAGTATTGTGCAATATGATGTTTAGGTATGTGTAAATTCACGTACTGATATATATATAGATTGTATTCAGATATTATAAAGTACATTTAGGTTACCTTCCGGTGCATACACACAAATGAAACGATGTACTTTTAAAGGTTATATTCGTTACATACTGCAAATAAATATATGTAGTTTAATAACTAAAATCTCTATAAATCTCCATCCTGATCTTAATAATCATGTGCTCACTAGTGACTAACTTCAAGATGGATTTCTTGGAGTTCTGATTGAAAACTATGACCAATGGAGGTGTAGACTATCTGGTTGGGGACCACGAGATGATAACAATCGATGGTTAGAAACCTTGAATGACATGGCTCAAAATCGTTTGCAATGGCGCAGGTGCATCCACTCTTTGTGTTCTTCAAAATTCTAATCTTCTGAATTCTTCATGTCCCTTTTTTCCTCTTTCCAAATTTATTTCACTGGATTATACCCCTTGAATAACATCTTCAAACCCTAATCTTCCCGATTACTGCTTATACTCTTACTAGCTCTACCACTACGGGATTTGAATCGACAACTGCATCTCTGTGCTAATGTGGTGTGGCAACTCGAACTGATGTACGTATGTACGAAGTTCTACGTTGTTGAATGACTGACTGACCAACCACACTAGCTGGGTGTAGATCAAATAACCACATTTACATCCTATATGTAGATAGTAAACAAAAACAGAGTATCAGACAAGTAATCTAATCCATCCATATCATATTATGATGAAACACATAAAAGAAACTTTCAAAAAGGAAAATAATAGAGAGAAACAGACTAAAGAAGAAGAAGAAAAAGAATAAGAACACAATGATATAATTTTATTTTCTGCATCTATATTTCCTCTAAACAACAGAATGTGATATTTCTCCCTTTAACGAATGAATGTGCATAGAATTAATCATTAACATAGTTGAAATGATCTTTAATAGTTACTTAGGGAAATGAATTAAAAGAATAAACAACCAACCATTTCCATAGTATACAATCTACAAATTAATATAAATAAATAAATCTGAATAATAAACGATGCATTTTAACAAAGAAAAACATTTAACACAAACAAACAAACACACGCACACACAAAGAGAGGGAGAGAGAGAGACAACGACAAACACAAACACAAAATGAACAAAGAGAAAACCAAGTTATTCAAAATGTACACACATCATTGAATAGAAGAAGAAAAAGAACAAGAACAAGAAGAAGAAGAAAAAGAAGAAGAAGAAGAAGAAAAAAGGTGTAGATGAATTTTTAATGGTCCATGTGTAGAATTTCAATTTATGGCCTAGAAATTTCACAATGAACAGATTGAAAGAAGAAAAAGAAGAAAAGAAAAGAGACAAAATAAGGAAGAGGTAAATAATAAAACTATGCTGATGAAATTATGGTTGTGTATAAACGTGTGTGTGTGTGTGTATATTGGGGATTTGAATGATAAATGGGACAAATAAAACACACTATTAAATAATATAAGAAAACTTAATAAATATGAAAGGAAAAATAAAAGTGGATTCATCAATTACACACTTTTGTGTGTGTGTGTATGTATGTATGTATGTATGTATAAGTAAATGTACAGAATGGACTGTGTAACAAAATCATCATCATAATAATAAGAATAATAAACCCAAAAACAAGTACACAGTGTTTGCAGCACTAACTGTACCATACACAATTACATCATACATCATATATGTATATGTTTAATGAATATTCTGAATAAACAAACAAACAAACAAACAAAATGGCGAAGGGTGTGTGTGTGTGGATTCGATTATTTGATATTTCCTGTTGTTGTTGTTTTTTTTTAACGTAATTCCAAAGTAAGTGTTTCTTGTGGAACAAGATCTAAATTAGCTAAAGTCATATTTTCATCCATTAAAGTTAACTATAATTTAAATAAGCGAGAGAGAGAGAAAAGGGGGTTAATATTATGCAATAAAGATATTGTAAATCGTTAAGAGCTTATAATAACATATATATCATCTACATTAATAAGTTTAAATCACGAATTCAAAAAAAAATGAAAGCCCTAGATAGTCGTTCTATCCTAGTATGGAACTCCTCAGCAGTTCGCATCTATGACTACGTTGTCTGCGGATCGAAAATCAAAGATCTACGGTCTCACATGAGAACGCCTAACCTCTAGACTATTAACCTGGTATTCAATGGTTTTAATGTCCGATTTTAATTAATTCACAATATTGTATAGCCCTCATCCATTGACTGAGATGGATAACTGTTGCATACCCGCGACATGGTGAAACGGCAATGGTCACAGCTTTTCATGACAACTCCAGGACTAGCATTACTAGTGAAAAATGATTTCGTAGATTCCAGGAACAGCAACGTTCAGGTGTCCTATACTAATTATCCTTTAACTATGGTCGGTTCGTCATTCTAATCAAAATCAATAATCTCCATGAATCCCCCTATACTATGAACACAATTAAGTGTATGTATTTGAAAAGATCGACTACGGTGATCCAGTAAAGTTGTTCCAACAATGTCATTTACACATGACACTTGTTTGGCTGAATCACGATTAAAAAAACTACTACTAAGTGGTCAGTTAATTATAAATATCTGTCCTATTGGAGGTCAGCCGCCGATCGCATGGCTTAGTGATAATGTCTTATACTCTGAATTTGAGTGATATGGTGTTCGATCTCACAAATAGCACTAGTTCGCTTAGGATTACAGGTACTTCTATCTGATGAGTACCACCTTGTACGAAACCTAGACTTAGGGTTTGATTTTTGATGTGATTGCGGGTGCGTATATACAGATACAAAAAGGAAAAAAATACAGTTCATTGTGCACTTTCGTTTAAAATAGTTGTCTAATCAAAGTTATTCAGATCTGTAAACCGAGATCTTTGAATTCAGCAACTGTTAGGGTTTTATAATCATGTAAATAATCTTCAAATAAGTTGTCACATGTATACATAAAACAGTTCTGAAAGTGGTTTTTAGATTGAGTAACGTTCTATATTACAATGTTGGGGTTAGACAAAGGATACTTGGTAGAGGTCGGAGACTGGTAGGTGATGTAAATCAGTATCAACCGCGATGATTAAGACATCTTTTATGTATGTCTAACCACCACCTACCTTGCCGTATGGTGTTCACTAATGTAGAATTAAAGTGCAAGAAAGCTAGGGGAAATTAAACCAAGATATGGCATCTATTCATGTAATGATTGACTGTTGACCTTAGTTATATCGGTAAATATGGATTACCTGGTCAGGGATTGTGCGATAATCACGACCAATGGAGACATTAGGTGATATGGTTCAATATTATTCACAACGGCCTAGATGAATCCACCCCTGAATTTCAGTATCCCTCCATTCACAACCCTCAACAGTCATTTCGAACAATGTTCTTAATGCCTCGCCTTTTTCGCTATCACTGCTACTACATTGTTTCAGTTTTTTCTGCCATTCATCTTGTTAATTACGTCTCTTTTTGTATATATCATATGATAACTTGGGTCAAAAACATCTGTGCCTGGCTCTAATGTTGATGATGATTCGACTTTGACTTTGTTGTTATAATCACTCTACATAGTTTGATGTAATGAAGCATGAAAACCTGTTTGGTTGACGACAACAACATCCATCACAATTCAGCACATTAAAAAAAAACAATAGCACTACAAACACTTACATCTCGGATTGGATATGTAGTGAAGAGTTTATAATCTGATTTGGAATAACCTTTCGATTCCATAAACATAAATACATGTTTTAAAATATCTGAACCAGCGAAACGTCGAATCATTGTACTATGCTTTACATTCGGATCATTAGAACACTGAGGAGGTAAACGAAAACGCAACGTTGTAATACCGTCAACACCATTTGGTGTAGATAAAAATGCTTCAGCTGCTGGTGTTTTTGGTGTAGGTGGTTCCGGTGGTAAACTAGCAGCCATAAATAATCGATGTTGTGTAGCTTTTATTTCATCATTTATACGTTTTTCTTCTTCAAGTTGTTTACGTTTATCTTCTTCCGCTTTGGCTTTGGCACGTTCCCATTCCTTTGTTGGATGTAGGTGAGGAGCGGAGTGAATGAAATAGGGTACAATAAATATATAACATTTACAAGTAACTTTAAGAACATAATTAACAAATAATGGAATTGAATACAACGATTGTGGCTAACAGTGGAATCCAAGAAATGTGTTTCGTCTTATTTGAAACCTTTATTTCAAATAAGCATTCGAACCCAGTAACTTTTACTACCAACTCGTTTAGCGGAAGTGACAAAGGAAAGTTAAAACATTTAAAACAGATTCTACCGATGATGGTACAGTGTGAATTAGCGAACACTGAAAGTTATGAAAAGTAGTTAGTTCAAAATGTGTTTTCTGGAGACCAAGAATAACATTACATTAACTCGAATAGTCAACATCACTGGTGGGTGGCAAACAAGTCATCAGCGAACTGTTAAACACAGGAGATAGCAGAATTGTTCAGAAGTGACGAAAAAATTTGATCACTGAAATGAAGACCTAGAGTGTTGTTACAGGTATAAGGGTGGTTATTATTTTTTCTTCAGACACATCGTGAAGAGATACTTCTACTGAACGGGCCTGAAAAGAAAACGTGATTAGAAGTAACGGTCTTCGCGACATGGGAGCGGACTGCAACGCCCGAAGGACAATTACTTGAAACCGGTCACATACGATCTTTTTGAATTTTAAGTGTGTTAGTTAATAATTTTAAGGTATTACGACAGGAGACAGAAACCTATCAGGTAAGGTGAGGTCTGTTACTTCTAGCGATAACTTTTTCTAAACTCCTCCTTCTGTTATAGAATAACACTTCTGTATTATTTTCACAATATCCACAAATCCTCATACTGATAATAATCGTGTGATCACTAGTGACTAGCTTCAAAATGGATTTCCTGGAGTTCTAGTGAGGCGCCGTAACCAGTGGAATCCAATCCGTGTCGAGTAGAGATGGGTATCTATCTCAGATAATGGATCAATGGTTGCGCAAGACCATGGGTAGATTGGGATGCCCTCTTCGTGGTCTAGAGATTCAGAGTTCTTGCGCGAGACCGAAGGCCCGCGTGCAGGATTGTGGATGTGCACTGCCGAGAAGTCCTATACTAGAAAGAAACGGCTTCCCAGTGCTTCCAGGTTTTCAATGGTGGTCTAGCTTAGATCGACTCGTGAATTCAATTATAATTCAATTTGAAATGATTTCGATTATGCTCTTGTCGATATTTTTGACTGAAATTTGGTAAATCTTAGTAGGTGCATGAAGTTCCTGTGTGGATTCCCTCGATATAGGCATTATGATACAGTATGATGTAGAATGGACAGAATATGGCTAGCAGTGAAATTCTGGAGGAGCATTTCGTCCTAACTAGAACTAGTCAGCTAGATGTGCATACGTTCCAAAGTTTGTGATACTAGCCAATGGCTATCCGGACTTAGTAGCTAAGTGGATGACGCATTAGTATTCGAAGCGAAGTGCATTGGATTAGAAACCCCGTCCTGGACTCTACTGCCAACCAAATTTCATTTATTCGTCATCAATAATAGTTATAATCGCATAACTGTTCAAAACTAACTTATATTTATCTGAAAAAAACCCAGATGAAACGCGTGTCTCTATATATCATCATTTCATAAAATGAATAAATAATACTCAGGAAAATAACCAACCTTTTCTTGATCACGTCGTAACGATTCTTCATAGGCTGCTTCTTGTTCTTCTAGTACACGTCGTCGAGCAATAATTTCACGTTCAGCTGCACATTCCGGTTCTAACAATTCCAAATATGTTGTATAAGCTTGCCATAATTCTGCAACAATTACATCTGGTTTTAAACTACCACAACTGGTGCCCACTGACGAGGAATTAGCATCATTTTTCACTGATTGTACAGTTGTTGTTGATGATGATGTAAAATGACTGCTACTACTACTACGACGTACATTTAGCAAAGGTGGAAAATGTTCAATTGGTGGCCACATTTTAACAACCCCAGTACCCATTACAATACATAACACTTCTAATTGACTCGATAATTTGACAATCATTGCTAGAATAGGATAACTATCTACCTATAAAAGAATTTCAAAAGATGTTAGCAACAATATTGATTTTAAAACAATTTACAACGAATCATTAATTGATTGATCACTGAGTACTGATTAATGTAACGGTTATGAAGTCTTTTAATGCTAATTAAATTTTATCGATCAAGCTGCAGGGTAGCTACATTAATGTCAGATGGTTGAAGGGAATCTTAGACCTAGATTTTATTAGTTGGCACTTGTTAGTAAAATGTACCCAGAATCTTGAGGGGACTGGTGCTTAGTGTGAGATTTGAATGTGTCAACAAGCATTACTAGTCACAGTCGACTTTGGTTTAGTAAATAGGTGATCCAGGTTCGAGTCTCACAAGAGGCATCAGCTCTGTTTAGATTACAGGTGTGTTTGGTTGACAAGTGTTGCACAGCACGAAACCTCGATCTAAAGTCTCCGGTCGCTTACTTAAACCATCAAATGCCCTGGTACAGCCGAGAGTAAGGAGAGTCAGTTCTTCCTCTCGAAATGTTCTCATACGGCCAAAAGTATACAGCCACTGTCAGGAAAGTCCTACTCACTGCCTTCTCGTGGTAGGGGTGTTGTTTACAAAATCGAGAGAACGAAAAGCGAATGTCCGGCGCTCTGACCGTGTTGGTGGATATGGAGGATCCTAGGGGAGTTGGAAAACCCTGACTGCAAATCAATGGAGAACATGGGTGTCAGGATACTAAGGGAACAAAAGGTGTTTGATTCTATTGTTGGTCGCCGGCTACCATGGGACTGCGCCTCCTGATGTTGCTCCACTGCTTTGTGGATTAGACTTTTAGGTCAAAGGCTTGGGGTGAGGCCTTTTAAGAAAATAACCTACTCGGTTTGGGATACCCAGGCAGTATCCCAGCTCTCACACAAATCGAATGTATTTGTGTGGTGCACATATATTTGGTACCTCCTTGTACCAATGTTAAATAAATACATAAGCACTAATTATTATATCACCAAGTAAATTCCAATCACCGAACACCAAATTCATAGAAGTAGTTAATTCAATGGTGGTAATATATAAAAGAAAGATTGTGTATAAGAATATAATACAGAAAGAAGGGTAGAAAGTAATTTTAATCTAATGGTTCAAGGAAAGACAAAGAGTATATACACCGACACCATTGTGATCGATTTCGAGCCATGTCACCAAGAGTTTTCGACCATTGGTTACAATAGTCACGCGGACCCCAACCAAGTAATCCGCATCTACCAACATGACCCAGACTAAAGGTTAGTGACTTCATGGACTGATGCCACGTTTTTGTCTGGCCGCTCCTAACTTTCTTCCAACAACCTCCGACATTAGTCAGTATTGCGCGTCGTGGTAATCGGTGTTCAGGCATACGTAACACGTGATACTAATCGATTAAAATTATGAATGTTTTATCTACAAAGCTATCATTCAACTAAACACTGAATTTAACTCAGTAGTCACATCAAGGTTTGCGTACTCAACTTTAGGCCATACAATCTAATTACATGGAATCTACTGATATAAATTGCGGTTTCTTTAAACCAAAGTAGGATGAACAATATTAAAACCGATAACCTAATCAATCAGCAGTATTTTTTCTTTAAATAAAAAAGAATATATGAATTTCAATGATTTTGAATTCAAAACTACTGATTGACTTCAGTTAGATAGACAGTGAAGATCGGAACAAATACTAGATAAAAGTCTCAACTAAGCAAAAGACTCCAACTCAACAATCCGCATCCATAATCCTATCAACGATCAAACTTAGAAAGTTCAGGCTTTGTGACAAGCGTTTACCTCCGTCACAAATCATCGATTTAACATTTAATTACAATTTATCATTTTAAAACGAAATAACTGTTCAATAAACTTTATAATTCTGTCTGATTAAGGTCAATCAATGGTGTAAAGCTACAAAATTCAACCGGGTTCGTTGTGAGATAGTAACTCACTGATGACAATGGTGGATGTGTCGCTCAATTTCGTGGATTAGTTGAAGTTAGACATTAACACCGTTGGATGCCAACTCAGTGGTCTAGTGGCTAAGTGCTCGCGCGCGAGACCAGTAGATCCTGGGCTCGAATCCCGCTAGGTGGGATCGTGGATGCGCACTGCCGAGGAGTCCCACAATAGAACGAAACGGCCTTCAGTCCTTCCAGGTTTTCCATGGTGGTCTAGCTTTAATTAACTCATGATCTCAACAACTGTAATATAAATCCATTGAGAAAATCAATAAATATACAACAAAGAAGACAATTATTTCACTAACAGTTAATGATGTAATTATTCTTGATAAATTTGGTAGTTTCACTTCAAGCCAACCGATTAAACGTTCTCTAGTTCGTGTATGTGTTATATCCCATGGCCATAAACTAAAATCATGATCAGTTAGAAATCTAAGTAAACCAGATGAGCGTAATACTTGTTGACAAAAGACATGACATGCTACACTCGCATCATTGTGTAAATATATAAATAATGGTTTACGCTGAGTAAAAAAAAGAGAAAGAAAACAAGTCCAATGAATAATAACAAAAGATGAATATAAAGTAAATACATAATACATGTGAACTGAATATTATTCATTAGTAGATTAAGCGTTCGCGTGTGAGACTGAGTTTGAATCTCGCGGGGCGGGATCATGTATGAGCACTGCTGACGAGTTCCATACTTGGATGGAATGGCCGTCCAGTTCCTCCAGGTTTCCCATGATAGTCTAGCTTCAACTGATTCATGAATTCAATTATCAAATTACTACAACCTCCACGAAACCCTGGTCTGATTATATTTTTCTTAACTTTCCTACGATGTTTCCAGAAGCTTCCAGAATAGCAAGGTCATAAACACAGACCTATAAATATCCTTATTTTTACTGCACTTGTAGTGTCGGTTATCATGTTAAGCCCATGTACCTTATTCTAGCTTTCAGACAGACCAATCTATTTATTATTCCTGAGTCACATTTTGACCATGTTAATTATTCGCTTACCAACCTTGACTGTTTTTATATGAGCGTATGTACGTATACACTTTTTATCCTATTCATCACATGTTTGTAGCTTAATTTTGTGTAGCTATAAATATTGATTAACGCTTGGTAAAATGGAGTTGGCTCACAAGCCTTCTCCAATGTACATCATTTTTGCTTCGCTCTCTTCTCTTCGCATCTCAGACCTTTTTGTCTGGACTATTGATTGCATGAAATACACGTGTTCGAAATTCATTTTCGTATTTAACTTATTTAATTTCGTTATTGACTAACGGGATCTAAGTCGATGACTAAATATACGAGAATATTCAGGATACATATATTTCAACAGCAAACATTCATACGATCTAATTAATGTAAAAATAAAGGGCCATACTAAAGTGATGAGCACGTCGACAACATCCTCCGATCTGATTTACATCTAAATGATAGGCCACTAAGTACTTAAAATAACCTTCGAAGGAAAGTTTCGTAACATACATCCTTTTGCTCGTCAACATTGGTGAATAATGGCTAATGAGGAATCCGCTTGAATGATGTTCGTAGAACATGTTCAATTTACCGAAGTTAGTGTTTTAAAATGACGATGCACACTGAATTATCGTTAGAATGGCCGTCTCAGTATTGCACTCCTCAGAAACGTGCACTTATGATCATGCTATGGGTCGAACTCAAAACTATAGGCTTCGCAACAAGTATGCTGCATTTTCACCACTAAATTTGAATTCAACTGCTCAAATGTTATGATCTGATACTCTAATTCAATTACAAAAAACGCGCCCCCTAAAATTTGATCTAATCAGCTACACGAAAGTGAAAAAAGTAGGAATGAGTAGAAATATCTTTTAAAAGTGTGAGCAACCAGGAAGTGGCAACCAGTCTTATACCTCTAACAGAGCTCAATATAAGTATCGGGGCACTAAATGTTCGACGAAGCTATCAAACAAGCCACTGATGTTTAATTTTATCATAGATAACACTTACGTTCTTCGGTTGGTTTACTGCTGAGATTGAAGTAAAAGTGGTTTAGAAAACCTAACAATAATCAGAATAAAACCAGGCGTCGATCGACAAAATATGCCCAGAATTTTTTCCTGTAATCAAACATGGCAATACTACAAACATACACTTTACATATCAATAAAATAAATGTCAACAACTTACATCACACACTTGACCAGTACCAACTGACAAAGATAGAGCAGTTTCGAGGCTACATGTAGAAAATGGTGGCGACATAGTCACACCATCCCTACAATAACGTTGTAAAAATACTATACAAAATTGTTGTGTAGCCAATTCTGGATCTTCGAAACTTGGATCATCAGGAACTAAAAACAAAGGAAACGAATAATAACAAAGTAGGAAAAGTATGTTTTTTTCTTAAAGACAAACATGTTTACGATAACAATTAGATCGAGAGCCAAAAAAATAACATTGATTTCATTTGATGCAAGCTGATTACAGATTCGATGATTGGATTTTGAGTTACACTTTCCTATGTTTACTTGTAAATAGGGAGGGGTAGCTGGTATTGTTACCTGGCTGCCCTAAAAACTTCAGTTCAACTCAACTCATTTACCAGGTTACAGATTAATGTACTTGGCTTAGAGTCACTCTCTAAGCGTGACAGCTAATGATACTATCCGATTGTCTAAATCCAAGTAGGTGAAACCATGACTTAGTAACTGAACATCGAACATACAGTTACTCATCGCTGCCCAGTCCCTAAACTAAAGTAAATGAAGCTCAATTAGAACTTAAGATTTAATAGCTTGAAGTCCACTACGGAAAAAAGGTTATAAATAGGATACCTAGCACAATTGTGCATCCATTTAAGTTACTATAAACCATAATTATATAATTTAGAGAAATGAAAATTTACAATAATGTAAGGAGAGTATTCTAAAAAAATAACATAACATTACTATCTGAGACAACTTATTTTGTACCGTCCTTTGAGAAATTCTTTCAATAATATTAGTTATTTAACAATTAATTCAAACACACAATTGAATACATGATATATTAGGTAATAAATTAAACTTTATAGTCAAGTATCTATTTCATTGGTACATAAGTGATCTACATTTCAATTGGCTTCTAATCCTGTCTATTTTTGCCCCCAAATGCCCTGGTACGGCCGATAGTGGGGAGAGTCATCCCTGCCTCTCGAAATGCTCTCACATGGCCACGCGTATATAGCCTCTGCCAGGGAAGTCCTAATCACTGCCTTCTCGCACGAGTGTTGTTTACGAAATTGAGAGGACGAAAAGCGAATGTCCGGTGCTTTAACAGGATTCCAAACCAATGGTACACATGGACTGGCTCCAGTAAACCGAGGGAACAAATGGCGTATGAACCAATTGTTGGTCACCGGCTTTCATGAGACTGCATCTCCTTACAATGCTCCACTGCCTTGTGGACCAGACCTTCAGGTCGAAGGCTGAGGGAGTGGCCCCCTAAGAACACCACCTGCTTCGGTTTGGGTACCCGGATAGTATCACAGCCCTCATACATATTGAATGAGATTTGTGTGACGCGTATGTAACTGGTGCCCCCTTGTACCAGTATTTATGTGTTCAAATAATCATCTTATTATATTCACCAAATCTATTATTATAACCTTTTTATTAACTGTGTTCACATTTCCTCACGGAATTAGTACTTTTAAAAACAACATTTTCATATATATACGATTGTACAGCTTGATAATAAATTCGTTGAAAAGAGATCCCTACGCTGAAATTCGTGTTTTAATTTTAATGTTTAAATGGGAACTATCTGTCAAATAAATAATAAACTGCCTATTTTTGTATTCAGTATTGCATATGTAAGTGATAGATTAGAACAAAAAAGTGAGGTCAGGTTCTCTCCAATTCAATGTAATGTATTATGACATTAGTCCTATCCCCAAATGCACGTGTTATGTATGCCTGAACACCGATTACCACGACATGCAATGCTAACCGGTGTAGGGGATGGTTGGAAGAAAGTTAGGAGCGGCCAGACAAAAACATGGCATCAGTCCGTGAAGTCACTAACTTCTAGTCTGACCCATGTTGGTAGATGCAGACTACTTGGTTGGAGTCCGCGTGACTTTCGTAACCAATGGTTGGAGACTCTTGGTGACATGGCTCAGAATCGATCACAATGGCGTCGGTGTATACACTCCCTGTCTTCCATTAAACTAAGAGATTAAAATGGCTCCATATCTTTCTTTCTACGAACCAATTCTTTCTTCCTGTACTATATTCTTATATGCAATATTTCTTTTATACATTACCACAACTAAATTAACTACTCCTATGAATCCGGTGTGGCAACTTGGACCGATGCATGTATGTGCCTGGTCCTACATTGTAACTAACTGACTGATGAGTAGTCAGTCATCATTAGATGATTTACATTGTAACAATATAAATTTCACAATTATCATTTACATATCACTGGATTCATTCACTTAATAATAATAGTTAAACATTTTCATCACAATTCATTTGAAAATCTTCCTTCATTCAGTCATTCAGATCTGACATAGTGGATAATAATTTCCGCCAATGCCCTCACCTTCCACTTACAATTTATTGATAACACATACAAAGTGATCATTATTAATCAGTGTTCATTGCTTGTTTCATATTGTTGATTTACGATTTAAAAGCTGTATTTTATGAAGATAATCACTATTCCTTACTGAACTGTCTCTCTCTTTCATATACACAAAGACGCAAATACACAATATAGTTAGTATATTATATTTTGTTGATTTGTAAACACCTACTTAATGGTTGATTCCATGGAGTGATTTTTTTATCATCAGTTTCATCAAGTATCTCATCACTAGAATAATGGTAATCCATGTCATAATCTTCATCCTCCTCCTCCTCCTCATTGTCGTCATTACAGTTATCATAGTCATCATCGAATCCCTGAAAAGAAAAAAGACAAATAATCGAAGTAAAAATGAAGAAAAAGCAAGTAGCTAACTCAATTAATGATGAGGATAATAATATGGCATCAGTTTATGAAGCAATGGACTATCAATTTGAGCCGTGCAGGTAGGTGCAGACTACCTGATTGGAGTCCGCGGGATAACAGTGATTAAACATTCGAGAGGTTGAATGGTGTGGTTGAGAATCGGTCATAGTTGGACAAATGCATTCAATCTTTGCCCTTCTCTAGATCTAAAGTTTAGGTGTTTCTTTATATATACCATCTTTACGAGTTGTAATTCTAATGTTTGTTCTTTCTTACTATCACCTCACCATGTTGATGCAATATGGCAATATGGACTGACGTATGTACGTGAATACAAGACAATTTCTGGTACAGTAACTCAATAACCTAGAAATACACAGAAAATTAATTCTGCTTTATCCTATACATATATACATGGTTTATAGTTAATTACACATAAGTTGTCGAGAACAGTAACTGAATAATTAAAGGATTTGACAAATAACCACTACTAAGTGATAAATCTCAATTCCATTTCATTTTTCAACGGAATTAATTATTAAATACTCTAAACACAATTATATATTGTAAGATGATTGAAAAGATTTGTAGCTCAAGTGGATGATTTTGTTGGAGTTTCATCCTCGGAGCTAGATGGTTTGATTGTGAAGTTGTCATTGATCTTCGAAACAACAATTATTAGAAGACTTCAAATAGAAGCGAGGTTTCGAGTTTCTTCACAAATGACTGACAGCTTGTCCTGTCGAATTGTATCGTGATTGATTATTGTTGACCTCATTTATACCTGAAGTTTGTGTTAATAATGTTTTTCAGAAGAACAATGGAAGCTTCACGATCAAACACTATCCAGAATATAGAACGAAACTCCACCACAATTATCTATTCATAAAGAATAGGAGTAAAGTAAGGCGATGGTTGGTGATAATCAACAAGGACCCTGCTTAAACTAGGTTTCGTGTCACCTGGGACTCGTCAGCAAGGTATATCTGTAATCTTAAGAGATTTGGTACCCCCTGGCAGACTCGATTTAGTGTTAATCAGCCTTACAGTCAGAGACGTTACTACTGAGTTATTCAGGTTACGGCTGATCTCCTGTTGATTGATCAATAAATGGTGACTAGTGTCATGTGTATCAAGTTCTTCTTTAGTGCTGATCTAATTTTGTCGATCAAGTCGCAGTGTCTTCACTAGTTTAAGAAATTCGACATCGCGTGCACTGTGTCAAAATGTGAGGTAGGAGTTGGAGTCAATCGACCGAACTTTGTGTTTTTAATGTTTAAATGGGAATCATATATGACATTGGTCACCATTTAGTGGGAGATAACAAAACGGTCATACACTTGAATATTACAAAGTAGCTTTGTTTAGACAATCATTACAAACTAGAATGTATTGGACAGCTATTTTGACCTAAAATGAGACTTTTCAACAGTGTTCATCCACGATCTCAACAAGAATAGAATCCAAGACCTTCAATTCCTGGGGAGAGCGCTTAGCATTTAAACCACTGAACCGATATCCAATAGTTGACATTTCTAACTTCAGTTAACTAAAGAAACTGGACGATAATTCAATGCCTTTAGTGAGTAACTGCCTCATAACTGACATGGTTAAAACTAACTGCTTAAAACTTCACACACTAGAACTACATAGCTCACAATTTCCATCACTAGTAAGCAGAAAATAGAAAGCAAGAAAAAAACTCACAATTTCTGGAGATACGTTACGATAATTGGGTTTTTTCGAACTTGATATTTTACGGTTAGACTTATTCCTAGTGGAAGAAGTTTCAGTGATGAGGACGTCAGTAGCAGCAGTGGTGGTGGTGGTGGAAGAACCACTAGGAATATTATCAACAAGAGAATGTGAAGATGATTTCTTTGCTCGTTGTTGTAATGATTCGGAATGGGTATCAACAGCATTGTGAGATAATTGAGCTTTACTTGGATTTTTATGATGATTTAATGGATTTGAAGCAGTCAACTATACATAAAGATATAAATATGTGTATGCATAAGAGTAAATTGTAAGGGAAAGAAAAGTAAAACAATAGTCAGTGAGAAACTGATATTGACAAATTGATTAAGGCACGTTATAATTAACATCTGTACAGTTGTCATTTATCCAATATAACGACTATTTAACACATAAAATAGGAAACAAATATTCTATATTATTGATAAAATAATACTTCCAAATGCCTTGGTACAATCGATAGTGAAGATAGTTCACTCTCCTTCTTGAAATAATTTCGTACGACTAATCATTTATAGCCTTTTTGATAGTTGTACTTAATGACTATACATAACAGAAGTCTGAGAATGCTGAAACTAAGTTTGTGTATATGGAGAATTTATCTAAGCGAGTTAGAAAAGCTTAACTACAAATAAATGATGTACATAGTGTTTTGACGTGTGGTGTTCGTAATCTAACACTGATACACGGTGTGCTGTGTGTTAACCCTCCGACTGACTACTTGAGCGAGGATACAAAAGTGAAGAAGGAAGTGTATTGGACTACTGAATAAAATGTAAAAAATACCCATTCATATATGTATAAACCATTCTATCCTTAGGAAAGTGACCCAGGGACCCCGATGAAATGCACTTGACCTTTAGGTCACTTATGATTGCCAATGATTAACCTTGTGCTACTTCTGAATGACTATCCATATCATGTGGGCTTCAGGATTTTGAAAGAATGAATGAAGCATAAATCTACTCTGGTCACTGACTACTAGTGCAAGAATAAACTTTTTGATGCTACTACTCCATCAGTACCATGTGGACATTGAGGTCAAATACTAGAAGAACTTCCTTAAGAAAATAACCTTCTCTGTACTAAGTACCTGGATATGACAGACGACATACACAAACAATAGTGATTTGAAAAATAAGGAACTGATAAACGAAGAGAATTGTTTCGTCAGTTTTGACTCAGTTTTCAATTTCTTCTATAAGATATTGAGATTTATACATACCTGATTTTACTTCGTATTGATGCTAACAGCTTTGAGAGTGATAGATGTCGAATACAACAGAATAACATTTGGGAATCTAAATATATGTATCGTAAAAAGTCGGGGATTACTGATTTCTATAGTCAATATACCCGAATACGTCATTAACTGTTAAGATTTAGTCAATCGAATTAACAGAATACCATTAGCACACATATGATACTTGCGACTCTCTTTGAAACCCACAAATAGATACATTGTGGTGTCTTTGCACCTAGATATGTTATGTTGTTGGAAACGAACTTACGTTACATATCCTCCACTGGCTGATGGATTAAGATAAACGTTGAAAGCAACAGCTCTAATACTACTTTCAACCGGATAACAAAAGAATAAGTCAACATCACTGTTAAGAAAAGTGATACGTTGGACCAATCAAACATCCATCAAATTGTAAGCGCATGTGACCGGCCAAAATATAGCTTTCTTTTTTAAGAAAGACACACTTCATCAGTGAAAAAGTGTGGTTTGAACTTCTAAGGGATATACATATAATTATACAGTTAATTGTGTATTTGGCTGGTCAATGAAGGCTTCCTTCTCACTCTTAGTTCTCTTATTTGTGGAGCGGGTCAAATTCATGTTTAAGAAACCTGTGTATATGTTAGAATCGGAAACTCCACAACACTTTTTTGGAGAGGACACGATAGTGGGGAATGAACACCCAAGTGGAGAAACCCCTAATGAAGTGGCAGAAAAAACGCATCTCATACACATCATATCCAGGACCCCATTTGGAGGGCCATAATGGATTGAAAGGTCGAACTCCTAAACATCTTACATTCCATGAGTATCATGTCATAAACTAAAAGACACTCCGCTTTCCCATTCAGCTTCAGCGCCAACAAGTAATCTGAGGTGTAGGAATCACTGAAACAGAATTCACAAAACATGTCAAATAAATTGACATCATTATATCCGAACACACACTACCACGCCTCGGCATTGTTTACTCTATTTTGCCATTGGATGTGGTTAATTCTTCGGAAACGATTATGATAGAACAAACTCGATGAAAATCCTTAGCTCTGATTATTTAAGATTCACAAACAAAAAGCAAAACTGCCCTTATTGTCGCGTTGCATAACAACCCTTTAGAGTCAGATATCAGAACGGTGCCAAAGACGGAGATTTCAGATGCGTTTTATCCTTTGACTCGGATGGTTTATTCATTGGGACTTCACTGACTGTCTGGACAAAATCAGCATGTACTTCGGAAAGAAATGATCTATTAGAATTTCTGGTAAAAATAAACTATGCTTATGATCTTGAGTAGACCAGCCCGGTTTGACGACAGTACCTCTAGAATTCTCGCGCGGAATTCAAAGAGTGGTGGAAGATAACATATTAAAAACTAAGTAGAAATTGTCTATGTACGGTTCTTCAGACACTTTAAATTAATTTTAAAGAAATCTTTTCTATAATTAGTGAATGAGAAACGGTGCGTAAACTAGATTACAAGGAGTAACTGATCCTAGTGTAGATTGTATATGAGAGTACATGATTTGATTTGAGGGGTGTTTATGTGTATAAAATGTAGTCTCCCATGCTAAGCCTCATTACAGAAACAAACAATTAGATTAGTGATAATAATAACAATGATACTTATGAACTTACGCATAAATCACAAACATCACCGGATTTCAAACCACAATCAGCTAATGTTACATTGTCATGACTAGATTTTTGTTCAGCAACATTATCATCATCAGTGTTGATAGTAGAAGAAACATTTGAATATTTTGACAAAATGGATTGTTTATTTAACTGTTGAGGATTATGCCGATTCAATTCATTGACTAATGAATTCAACACTTCATTCGATGGTATTTGTTCACTAAATAATAGATTACTCTTCTTATTATTATCATTACGATTATGTTTTGATTTAATAGACCATAATTGATTTGTTATTGGTATACCAGTAATACGATGTAAATCATTATGTATTTTTGATATATATGAATCACATGGTAAACGTAAATAATGATAAGCATAAGGTGAATATGATCTATCAGTATTTAGTTGATTACTTTCAGATAGATTCATATCTTTAGTTTTATAATTATCATCATCGTCACAACAACTACTACTATTATCAGTAGTAGTTGTTGTTTGCGCCAGTATTTCATTATCACTTGTTTTATATACACTAATATGTAATACAACTTGTCCATTTTGTTGATTTGAATAATTACTATTAAAAAAGAAATGTGTGCAAATGATGAGCATATTTTTTTCCAGTTTGAAGAGAAACATTTTAAAAAAAAGGAGACAATATCCAAAGTAAATGGATCTCAATCGTGGCCTAACATCAATCGGTTCATGATCTCAATCAATAACTTAATAATCTCTACAACCCTATACCGATAATTACCATGTGCTCACTAGTGGCTAGCTTCGTGTGGGAATTCTCAGAGTTCTAGTGAGAAGACGTGACCAGTCGAGCTAATCTGTGTCGGGTAAAGACAGATATCTACTTCAGTACAATCGGAGATGATCGCTTAATTTCATGGATTGGTTGAAGTTATACATCGTTGGATGCCGACCAACTCAGTGGTCTAGTAGGTTAAGCGTTTGCGCGAGAGACTCAAGGCCCCGGGTTCGAATCCCACAAGTGGGACCGTGGATGTGCACCGCTGAGTCCCACAATAAGACGAAACGGTCGTCCAGTTCTTCCAGGTTTTCGATGGTAGTCTAACATCAATCGGTTCATGATATCAGTCAATAACACACAAAAAACATTACATATATTAGAAAGTTATTTTTCTTTCAACGGTTCAGTTGAAACAAAGAAAAAATCCACCTTAAATTATGACTGTTCAATGAGTCAACTTCATAGTTCAGATTAGATTAAATGAAATGTTCAGTTGTCTTTTTTCTTACTCTCAGATGTAAAAGATCGGGTCTACAACGCGTCGGTGAGAGCAGTTTCGCTCTATGCTTGTGAAACCTGGTCTCTCCGAGTTTGAGGACGTTAGACGACTTTCTGTGTTCGATCATCGTTGTCTCCGAAGGATTGCTGACATCCAGTGGCAACACCATGTTAGTAATGCCGAGGTTCGGCATCGTGTGTTCGGGCACAGCGACGATGATTCAATTGGTGTCACCATCTTGAAACATTGAACTCGGTGGCTCGGACATGTTCTACTAAGAATGTTGTCCCAGAGAATTCCACGTCGTGCATTATTTGCTGACACTGAGACTAAGTGGAAAAAGCGGAGAGGTGGTCAGTGCATGACATGGTGTCGTGGTATGAAAGAAAGCTGCAAAGGACTGGCTTCTGTTGAACCTTCACGACTCCCTGGTTGGGGTCCTAGAGATGGTGCAACACAGTGGCCCCCCGAATGCCCTGGTACGGCCGAGAGTGGGGAGAGTCATCCCTGCCTCTCGAAATGCTCTCACACGGCCACGCGTATACAGCCTCTGCCAGGGAAGTCCTACTCATTGCCTTCTCGTGGCGGGGGTGTTGTTTACGAAAATGAGAGGACGAAAAGCGAATGTCCGGCGCTTTAACCGGATCCCAAATTAATGGTGCACATGGGCTCCAGTATCCTGAGGGAACAAATGGCGTATGAACCAATCGTTGGTCACCGGCTACCATGGGATTCCATCTCCATACGATGCTCCACTGCCTTGTGGGTTAGACCTTTAAGTCAAAGGCTCGGGGTGTGACCCCTTAAGATAACTACCTGCTTCGGTTTGGGCACCCGGGCAGTATCACAGCCCACACACAAATGATGAACTCTTTATGTCTATGGAAATTACTTTTCTCGCTTCGAAAAACAATCAACTGATTCAAATTATTATCATTGCAATTATTGCCATTAACTCCGCCTGTAGCTCTTATAGGGTTGCTGCCGGTCCCAAGCCCGGGTAAAGGAGGAGGGTTGGGCATGGGGTTAGCGTCCCCATACCGTAGAAAACTAACTCGCTAAAAAAACGCTTACCCGAAAAAATAATCCAAACCATTTTAACTCTGCCCTGGGAGTTAGAAGGTCTTCATTTAGAAGAATTATGACGCTTCATGGTGAAAGCCGAGTTCCTTCGGAAGCCACGAGGCCGATGCCCCTTCTAACAACCAGAGCAAAAATTTTTATAGGTACATGGAACGTTCGAACAATGTGGGAAACCGGGAAGACCAGTCAAATATCAATGGAAATGAGGAGATACAACTTAGCAGTAATGGGAATCAGCGAAACCCACTGGACCCAAGCTGGACAGAAAAGGCTAGCTACGGGAGAGATGCTGCTATACTCCGGTCACGAAGAGGACAATGCTCCACACACTCAGGGAGTCGCTCTTATGCTGTCCAAAGTAGCACGAAATGCACTTGTAGGATGGGAATCTCACGGATCCAGAATCATCAAAGCATCATTCAAAACAAAGAAGGAGGGGATCTTAATGAATATTATCCAATGTTATGCACCCACTAATGATAGCAACGACGACATTAAAGATCAATTCTACGAGCGGCTGCAGTCAGTGATAGAGAAATGCCCAAGAAAGGACCTCACCATTCTAATGGGAGATCTAAATGCCAAAGTCGGAATAGACAACACCGGATATGAAGATATTATGGGACGACATGGACTGGGAGAAAGAAACGAAAATGGAGAAAGATTTGCAAATCTATGTGCATTCAACAAATTGGTCATAGGAGGCACAATATTTCCACACAAGCGTATACACAAGGCTACATGGATCTCACCGGACCACACTACAGAGAACCAAATAGATCATATTTGCATCAACAAAAAATTCCGAAGGACAATTGAAGATGTGAGAACCAGGAGAGGAGCTGACGTAGCTTCAGATCACCACCTAGTTGTAGCCAATTTGAAACTGAAGCTAAAAAAGAACTGGACAGGTGGACAAACAGCAATACAAAGGTTCAATACAGCCTTCCTTCGAGATACTGTCAAACTCAATGAATTCAAGATAGCTCTCAACAACAGGTTCCAAGCCTTACGAGATCTACTGAAAGAAGAAGAAACTACTATGGAGGACAACTGGAAAGGCATCAAGGAAGCATTAACTTCAACGTGTCAAGAGGTTCTCGGTCTAAAGAAATACCATCATAAGGAATGGATCTCTATAGATACACTGGACAAGATCAAAGAAAGGAAGAACAAGAAGGCAGCAATAAACAACAGCCGAACACTAGCAGAGAAAGTCCAAGCACAAGCTGAATACATAGAAGCAAACAAACAAGTGAAGAGGAGCATTAGAGCCGACAAGAAGAAATACGTGGAAGAACTAGCAACGACGGCAGAAAAAGCTGCTAGAGAAGGAAATATGAAACAGCTTTACGATACAACGAAGAAACTATCAGGGAAATACAGTAAACCAGAGAGGCCGGTCAAAGACAAAGAAGGCAAGCCAATCACCGAAATTCAACAACAACGTAACACATGGGTAGAATACTTCGAGGAACTCCTGAATAGGCCGGCTCCAATGAATCCACCGGACATCGAAGCAGCACACATAGATCTTCCTATAGATGTCAATCCACCAACTACGGAAGAAATTAGAATGGCCGTCAGACAAATCAAGAACGGGAAAGCAGCAGGACCCGACAACATACCAGCTGAAGCACTGAAATCAGACATCGAAACAACCACAAGCATGCTTTATCTTCTATTCAAAAAGATTTGGGAGGAGGAACAAGTGCCAATGGACTGGAAAGAAGGACACCTCGTCAAGATTCCAAAGAAAGGAGATCTGAGCAAATGTGAAAACTACAGAGGCATAACACTACTGTCAATACCAGGGAAAGTCTTCAACAGATTGTTGCTGAACCGGATGAAGGATGCAGTAGACGCCCAACTTCGAGATCAACAAGCTGGATTCCGTAAGGATCGGTCGTGCACAGACCAAATTGCAACACTACGGATCATCGTCGAACAATCAGTTGAGTGGAACTCATCACTATACATCAACTTCATTGATTATGAAAAGGCATTCGACAGTGTAGACAGGAGGACGTTATGGAAACTTCTTCGACACTACGGAATTCCTGAGAAGATTGTCAATATTATCCGGAACTCATACGACGGACTACAGTGCAAAGTAGTGCATGGAGGACAGCTGACAGATGCATTCCAAGTAAGGACCGGAGTCAGACAAGGCTGTTTACTCTCTCCCTTCCTCTTTCTTCTGGTGGTCGACTGGATTATGAAGACCTCAACATCTGAAGGAAAACACGGAATACAATGGACAGCTCAGAATCAATTAGACGATTTGGACTTCGCAGATGACCTAGCCCTCCTATCACGTACACACGAACAGATGCAGATGAAGACAGCCAGTGTAGCAGCAGTCTCTGCATCAGTAGGCCTCAGCATACACAAAGGGAAAACTAAGGTCCTCAAATTCAAAGCGGAGAACAGCAATCCAATCACTCTTGATGGCGAAACTCTGGAAGATGTAGAATCCTTCACATATCTGGGAAGCATCATCGATGAACAAGGAGGCTCAGATGCAGACGTAAAGGCGAGGATTGGCAAAGCAAGGGTCGCATTCCTACAATTGAAGAACATATGGAACTCAAAACAACTTTCAACCAATATCAAAGTGAGAATCTTCAATACGAACGTCAAGGCAGTTCTACTGTATGGAGCTGAAACTTGGAGAACTACAACAACCACAATCAAGAAAGTACAAGTATTTATAAATAGCTGTCTTCGCAAGATACTCAACATCCATTAGCCGGATACCATCAGCAACAGCCTTCTGTGGGAGAGAACAAACCAACTTCCAGCTGAAGAAGAAATTAGGAAAAGACGATGGAAATGGATAGGACATACATTACGCAAATCGTCAAACTGCATCACGAGGCAAGCCCTAACTTGGAATCCTGAAAAGAAGCGAAAAAGAGGAAGGCCGAAGAACACATTGCGTCGGATAATAGAAGCAGATATGAAAACGATGAATTACAACTGGACGGAGCTCGAAAGGATTGCCCAGGACAGGGTTGGATGGAGAACGCTGGTGAGCGGCCTATGCTCCTTCACGAGGAGTAACAGGCGTAAGTAAAGTAAAGTAAGTAATTATTGCCATTATTAATACTATTATTATTATTACTATTATTGTCATTATTATTATTATTAATATTATTATTATTAATTTCCAGAAGTAGACTTATCCCCCGATAGTTGTTACAGGAACGATGTGAACCCTTTTTAAAGATAGGGACAACTATCAACTCATTCCATGACGTTGGTACACTCTCTAGTTCCCAAACCTTTGTAAACAACGTTGTCAATTCCTTAGTCAAAAAGTCACCACCATCTTTAAAAAGAGCCGGAGGTAAGTCATCTGGGCCAGGTGATTTGTAGCGCTTCAAGAGTTGGAGTTCCTTGCGGGCTTCCTCCTCATTTGGTGGATCATTCGTCACCGGCCATGGAGGGCAGGACAGTCTGACCGTTGTTGCCGGAGCAGCAACCCAGTTGAACTGCCCTTCGAAAAATTCTGCCCACCGTCCAAGACGTCGATGGATGTTAGTGATTGCCATCCCGTCATCCTCGCAGATTGTTTTGCTCACATTAAACTTCCTGCTGCCAGTGGTTCGAATGAATTGAAAGAGCTTCTGGTAATTACCAGATGCAGCTGCTGCTTCCAGCTCATTAGCACGCTCCGACTACCAGGCTTCTCGGTCCTTACGCAAGCTTTGCCCAATTTCATTGCGTAATACCCCTAGTGTGTGGTCAAACTCACGGTCACCCGGAGTAGACCGATGGGCTTCAATGAGTTGTAAGGAACCAGAAGAAACCCAGTGCTTAAAAGCGGGACGTTTCGCAAACCCACAACTGACTGTACCCGCCATTTTCATGGCGTCATGAAGTTGAAACCAATGCTCATCTATACTTTTCGGTGGAGTGGTAGCTAGCCTAGAGGCTAGCTCGGTTCGATACTTATTTGCAACAGAAGTTGCAACCAGCTTGCTAATGTCAATCCGTTGATGGCGGTCACTTCGTTGTCCACTGAAAAGTAAGGCAAGATTGGCGCAGCCCAAAGCATGGTCAGAGTCCAGATAGGTACTCCGAAAGGAGCGGCATTCTTGTACACAACAATGCCAGCGGTAGCTGATCGCGATGTGATCAATCTGAGTCCAGTCTTGAGATGCAGAGGGTGCATGCCAGGTGGCACATCGACGATAACTGTGCCGAGAGTTAGTGCTAGCCAGAAACAGGTTGTGGTCTGTGCACAGTTGCAGTACACGGTCCTCGTTATCTGTCCTGAGACAAACGAGTCCCCATCGGCCACCTAAACGACTCTCTTCTGTGCCTAGACGCTCGACCTGAGCATTCAAGTTTCCGGCTAGTACTACAATATCTGTCGAATGCACTTTCTAGAGAAGAACAGATAACTGGTGGTAAAACTCATCCTTGATTGCGTCCGGGCTGCAATCTGTCGGGGCATAGGCGGAGATGACGAAAAGACATCGTTTCTCACGCCGATTTCTTCTCACTTTGATGGAACTCTCTAATCTAACAGCACATAGCCGACTGTTAGTGGGGATCCAATCGACTAGTGCTGCCTCAGCTCTAGCGCTCAGTGCGACACCAACGCCAGCAAGACCAGACGAAGATGCCACAGGGTCCCCGGATAAGCGCACGTAAAACAAGCTTTTCGAAGCGACAGATGGAGATCGAATTTGTAGTACTTCGCCAGAGTCTTGAATACAGGTCTCGGATAGACAACAAACATCAATATTAAGACTTTCCAAAGACATAGCCAACCCTATCTGTTGTCCAACCTGAATAAGTGTGCGAACGTTGAAGGCAGCCAGTTTGAATGGTGCACGTGGTTTCAGGATTCGTATTTGGTGGTAGCATAAATTTTTTAACCATGCAGTGACTCGAGAACGTTTAAATAGAACCGAGTTTCCACCATAGGCGAGTTGCTGTATAAGTCGAAAAATAAGGATACACCGAGTGGGAATAAAAGAGAGTGAATAAATGTTGTTAAAAAAATAATAACAATAATAGTAATAATAATAATAATAATAATAATAATAATAATAATAATGTGAATCGTTTGATTGTTAATCGAAGAAAGACAAGTATTTCCCATAAATATCGACATTTCATCATATTTGTGTGTGGGCTGCGGTACTACCCGGGTGCCCAGACCGAAGCAGGTGGTGTTCTTAGGGGGCCACACCCGGAGCCTTTGACCTAAAGGTCTAACCCACTAGGCAGTGGAGCATCGTGAGGAGATGCACTCTCATGGTAGCCGGTGACCAACGATTGGTTCATACGCCATTTGTTCCCTCAGGATACTGGAGCCCATGTGCACCATTAATTTGGGATCCGGTTAAAGCGCCGGACATTCGCTTTTCGTCCTCTCATTTTCGTAAACAACACCCCCGCCACGAGAAGGCAGTGATTAGGACTTCCCTGGCAGAAGCTGTATACGCGTGGCCGTGTGACAGCATTTCGAGTGGGCGGGCCCACCCCACTCTCGGTCATACCAGGGCATTTGAGGACTCAGAGAGAACAACACCCTCAAAATTTTTCACCTGACCCTACAAATATTGTTTATCATGATCGTTTTTCTTCGTTAATAATTTCTACTTTAACTAACCCAGTGTAAAATTTAATGAACTAATAAACAAATTTACCCAAATATGAAATGCTGTCTATCTGTTAGTCAAAAACTATAAAATTACGTTTACAGTCCAAGCAAATCATTGCATATGATTAACCAATAGGGGAATATTGCATCACTTTTCGTGTGTACATGTATGTATGTAGGTAATTGTGAGTGGTAATTATTAACTAATCGCAAGGAGAAAAAAGTACTTCTTTGCGGTTGACATGTATCTAACGCATGACGAAACAAAGAAAGGAGTAAACAAATATGTTTATTTATTTCGGGGATGAAAATGAGGAGCATCGTGAAATAAACACTTACGAGTAAGGTAATGGATCCGGATTGAGTTTAGCTCGAAGTTTAATACATTTCGGTAGATGTAATGCACGAAGGAGCGTCTGGAATAAAATTACAATTAAAAGGATAGAGACTAATTTTTCCTACCAGTTGGTTGGTAAAGTTTTAGTGAAAAATCATGCACGTAAATAACTGACCCATGAATTTCAAATATGAAACTGCAAAAATGAAAAGTTTAAGTATTTTTGGGTAAAAAATTTAACGTTGAATTCCAACTCCATGATAATTCACAATACATTACAAACAACAAATAAAGCATTGATTTTAATTTGACATATTAGTAGCCTGGATTGCATACCTTTATGCTAATTCTGTAATTTTAAAAGCGTAGAGGATATTGAATGTTCCATGTGGTTTCATATTGACAGCAGCCACTACCTAGATATAGTGGTTGAGATACTATATCGTGATGACCCAATCAACTTATACTGACTGGTGCTTCTGTTTTCTTAAGGTCCATCATGCCAACCAAGTCAATTGGAGAAGGATAAGACTAAAAGCAATAACTTAGGGTCAAAGGGAGAAATCATAATGTTGACTGTACTGGAATATGAGGTCAATACGGTATTTCCCTTAGACAACCAATAATTGCAGACATACTGCTTTCTCACAACGAAAGGAGGGGTAAGAAACGACCACCCTAAAAATATAAAACTTCGTATTACCTCACGGGCTTCCATCTTCGGCAGTAGTCTGAAAAGCACCGACCCAACACAATAAAAACCCCTCTTGAAAACGCTGTGCATGACTACCTTTAAACAGCTATTGCCTGAACGCTGCGGACACTCTCCCAAATTTTCAAGACCACCAACCTTACCCTAATTGCTGAAGTTCATTTAACCAGCAAACCATAAAGCTGTATAATATCTAAACTCAAGTACTTGAATACCTTAAAACGAAGTCTGTCAAAAAAAAGGATCAGCAGAAATAAAGGACCGGAAATATTCTGGTCTAGAAAGATATGACATAACAATATAGTTATCTACTCGCTTACATTTCTTACTCGATTACAATACTATACAGATAAATACAATTAGACAATGTATTATTAGAAAAATAATTGTATATCTTACTGAGTTGTCAGAAAAAGAATGAGATCCAGAACTCTCCAAAACAAGATGCTTTAAAAGGTTGGCTTTGCTACACTCTGTTATTTTCGATTCTAATTCTGGACTAGTCGCTAACTGTATGAGCTCAGTCAACCGACAGTCAATAAAATGTTGTTTCAAAAATCCAACTGTCTCCGTATCAGGAAAAGGAAAACTTTCTTTTACAACTTTTTGCTCATGATCTGTATCATCATCTATAGGTAATTCCAAATCTATTTCAAAATTCAAGATACGAACTGCTCTATTGGAATTAATAGTAGCTTGATCACTGTCCAGTTCAATAACGGATCGAGAAATCGCTGGAGATATATCGCACCCTGAAATATCAGTATCGATATCACACATAGTTGATACGGAAACGGTCTGAGTCCCTAAGTTATGATTCATTGAGGATTCAGATGATAGAATGGGTCCACCAAGCGGAGTCATAGGAAAAATTGTGGAATATGGAACAGATTGGTTTTCTTGGACAACTGATGATCCTGCTAAAAAAAATAGTGAATAATTTACATTTTTTAAAAAGTACGTAGTATTTATATTGAATGTACAAAATCAAATGAAATCATTGATGAACGCCTACTAAATTATTTGTTTGCAATTGACCACCCGTTGAATATCTATTTGAGTGAAGATAAAGTGTTTCCACTGCTAGGAGGAATGGTAAAAATTCGAAATCAAGAAATATTTCATAGAATTACGCTTGGAACTGTCAATAAAATAGAAAAAATATTTGTCGACTTTAAAAATCATCATGTGTTCACATGAATATTTTATTGTTGTAGATCAGTAGTGCGAATAAAGGTTAAATAATCAAGATACTGTTTCGGTCTTAGTTCAGAACACAACAGATATATTGGTAGGCTAAAATATTATACCGTAGATCCCAGGATCAGGAGTCATATACTAGGGCAAAACGACCATCCAGTGCTTCCAGGTTTTCAATTACCCTTTAACTTTGATAGGTCCGTGATTCCAATAAAAGTCAATAATCTCCACAAATCCCACTATACTATTAACACAATTAAGTGTATGTAGTTGAGAAGATTGACTATGATGACCCAGTATGGTTTTTCCACCAATGTCATCAACACATGACACTTGCTCGGTGGTATCACGACTAAAAAAGTGACATCGATTGCTACTAAGTGATCAGTCAATTTTAAATACCTATCGTCTAGGAGGTCAGCCATCAGCCGAGTAGCTTAGTGATGTGGTTTCCAATCTCACAAATAGAACCACCCCACTTAAGATTACAGGTACTTCTAGCCTCCAACCGAGAGTGGGGAGAGTTAGCTCTCCCTCGCCAATTGCTCTCACTCGGTCACATACGTACAACCACAGTCAGGGAAGTCCTAATCACTGCCTTCTTGAGGCGTTACTACTGTCTATGAAATTGAGAAGACAAAAAGCGAATGTCCGGCACTCAAACCGAGTTGGTGGATATGGATAATCCACCTAGGGGACTTGGAAAACCCTAATCCCAAACTAATGGTGCACGTAGGTTCCAGGATCCTAAGGGAACAGATGGCGCATGAATCTATTGTTGGTTACCGGCTACCATGGGACTGCATCTCCTGAAGTTCCTCAACTGCCTAGTGGAGTGTGGCCTGCTAAGAAAACCACCTGCTACGGTTCGGGCGCCCGGGAAGTATCCCAGTCCACATACAAATTGAATGAAATGAGGTGCATATGTTCGGTGCCTCCTTGTACTATATTTGTGTTTGAATAAGGTTTTCACGAGCCTTAGTGAAGCGTTAAAAAATTACTGGGGATAAACAGATTCCTTCAAAATTTCATTTGGTTCTCAGACATTAGCTAGTAATCGTTAATCTAAGAGCTGGAACTGGACCACTATCCAAATAAGACGTTACTAATACAGGAGACTATAAGCCTATTGGCTTTGGCCTGTAAGAAGAACGATGGTGGTTGCGCTGACAACACGAGCACTGACAGTGAAGAATGTGTCAGTGTACGTGCTATTACGAGACCCCCCAAACACCCGACTGTGGTTGACGGAAAAGTGAAATCTCCGTTAATGTTAACGGGAAGGGAAGTACCACCTGACATCGACATTGGTAATCATGCACCTCTAGTGGAAATTGAAGATCCGGATAAAACCGTCACCGTTCCAAATAGTCCAGGTGTCCTGAAGGAAGAAAAATTGACTACAGTAGGGAGAAAACGAAACGAAAAGAAAAAAGCTGTAGGCAGTACGCAGCTGGTTAGTAAGTGATTGGTGGAATCCCATTGTGAGTCACAAAATGCACTGCCAAAGTCTGATAGTAAGAGAGAAACCCATTCTGGTATGAATGAAAAGGAGAATCTAACCTCATTGAATATTATTGTGAGCGAATTTCTGGAGTCAAACGACCCTTATCCCAAAATTAGACACGCGCATGATTTAGAGAATCTGGGAGAATATATTCGTAGTATCTTACCAGATAACTCTAAAGGAGTTCAGGTCAAAAAACTTGTTAGAATGGGTAAGAGGACCAAGGACAACGTTGAACCCCGACCATGCAGACTCCTTAAGGTAATCCTAGGATCGGAGAAGCAACGTGATCTCCTGTTAAGTAGCGCTCGTAGTCATGTCAATTCCAACATTCGAATAAGACCTGATATATCTCTTGAAGATAGAACAAAAAGAAAGCACTAGCTGAACTAGAAACCTGTCAACAAAACGGTGAGGAAAATCTCCGGTTAGTGGAATTTCGGATAGTCAGCTCTTGGAGGCGAATGCTACCAAGGCCTGTGTGGATAAGCCGTTCTACCTAGGAGTTTTATATGCTAAAGCTCGTAGTCTAAGAAATAAGTTCTATGAACTGGAAGCATTAGCGAACAAATTAAAGCCACTGATTGTAGCAGTGACAGAAACTTGGTTAGTCCATGACTTAGACATTACTTCAGAATTGTCCGGATATCATTACCTAAGGAGTAATAGATATAGATGTAGAAAATGTGGCGTCCTTTTATGTATAGCCAATGGCATAAATATCCGCTCCTCTGCTAGCGAATCCCATGATGGCGGTACTTGTGAAATTATTAGCTGTGAATTGGCTATTGGATGTGGTACATTTATGCCCGGTGTCATCTATAACAGCCTAATCTGCTTAGCTGATGACTTTATTTTAGAGCACATTCAACTATGGGGTTCAAATAACAGATACTTGGTAATAGGAGACTTTAATGCACCTGATATTAGTTGGACTGAGATGACCACGGAAGGATCTATAAACTCGTTTGATAGCAGGTTCCTGATAACAATAATGGAGCATGCATTAGTACAGCATGTATCCAAATCCACACGTTTTGGTGCTAACTAAGGTTCTTCTCTCTTGGACTTGGTAATCACTCATGAGACTGAGGATATTGTCGACCTAAATATTCTTCCACCCTTAGTGAACAACGATCACGCTGTTTTGTCACTCACGTTTAGAACTAGGGACATAATATACGATCAGGTTACACCCCGCCCAAATGTATGGAAAGCTCACATATCAGCCATTCAGGAATGCGCCGCTAAGACAGATTGGTTTGTAGATACTAGCTTATCAGTTGAAGAAGCATGGTCTGTATTTAAAGGTAAGTTTAGTTTAGTTACGTCCTCATTCATACCATACCTGATACCGCGAAGACCGAATAACAGTCAACCATGGATAACTAAACCAGTCAGGAAACTTCTTAGAAGAAGGAAGAAGCGCTGGAATATGTTCATCTCTACTAGCTTAGAACAATACAGGTCCAGTTATTGGAAGATTACGAATGCCTGTGGAGCGTTAATAAGTAAGACCAGACGATCATATGAAAAACAATTGGTTAGGGATTCTAGATATAGTTCGAGACGGTTATGCTCGTATACAAAAAGGAGAACTCAGAGAAGCGATGGATTTCCATAACTTTTGATACAAGAATATCCGTTAATCTTAGCAAGAAATGATACCAAAAAAGCCGAAGCTTTATCGGAATATTTTAGTAAAATGTTTTCTATCAGTAATGAAGAATGATCGACGATTCATTGTGATTGTGGCGGCTCGCTGATGGACCCTGTAGTCGTTGAGAAAGGTACTGTCTTAAGGCTACTTCAGCATCTCAAACCTGATAAGTCCAGTTGTCCTGATGATATTCATCCTAGGATTATTTAAGCCATATCAGACGTAGTTGCAGTCCAGATGCAGTCCAGACTGCCCAGAGACTGGAAAGACTCTATAATAAGTCCGGTGTATAAGGCAATCCTCGGTCCCCTTCTCTTTTTACTTTATTTAAATAAATTAACAACTGTAGCAAAATCATCCGTTCTGCTCTTCGCTGATGACACAAAAATTTGGAGACCCATACACAGTATGTCGGATAGGATAGTAATACAGAATGATCTTAGCTCATTGGTGACATGGCTGGACAGGTGGTCACTAAAAGTAAATCCTAACAAGTGTGGTGATGCAATTAAGTAACTATGATGAATCGCATCAGTATACCATATGTGGATTTGTGCTACCCAAAGTAAGAAACTATAAGGATTTAGGAGTCATATTAAGCAGCCCTCACACAAATCGGATGATTTATGTGACGCATATCTATTTGGTGCCTCCTTGTACCAATGTTTGTGTGTTTAAATAAATAATATAATAAAATACATATTAAGCAGTGGTCTCAAAACCACTAGTCACTGTAAGGCTGCTGCTGTGAAAGGCTATAGGGTAGTATGGTCTATTCGTAGGACTTCCCAGTATTTAGATGATGAAATGTTTAGATTATTATATCTGATTTATGTGCGACCACATTTAAAATATGGGATTCAAGCAGCGATTCATTGTCTCAAGTATGAAGCAGAGATGCTGGAAAGAGTCCAACGACGAGGTATTAAGATGGTACGAAGTCTATCTGGCCTATCTTATAAAAACAGACTGAAACACCTTAACTTATTTTCGTTATCTTACCGTAGAATACTGGGTGATCTAATATTGGCTTATCGTACACTGAACGATGACCTTGGTATTAACATGTCTTATCTTTTACTTCCATCTAGGAAAGATCATTTGAGAGGACATTCAAAGTTCAAAAACCGAGATCAAGTCGTTTACGTCTGGAGTTTCGTTTCTCGCACCGAGAAGTGAATTAGTGGAATTCTTTACCGGGACACGTAATATCAGCACTTTCTGTTGATATATTCAAAACGACATTGGATCTCTACAGTATTACAAACTGCAAGGATTAATATAGGTCGACAGACCTCCTATCCTTATTACTGAAGATCTGTAGTAATCCAGAAGGGTCTGTTGCTTTCTCTTGGTTTAGATTAACCCAAGATTTCTACTTCATTATGATGATACGGCTTCAATGTGACTTCAGGAATATGTAGAATTTGTCTCTTTATGACTCGTGTACACTTTATTATCCTGCATCTATTAATGACGATACGAATCGCTTGTTTTTTAAGTAATAACACCACTGTTTTTACAACCCTACAAAATAGATTACTTCAAGTATTATGAGTAGACCGACAGCCTTGTATACAGGTTAGATAAATAGAGTTGAATGGCGAAAGGATTTTCATTCAAGAATTTCGGCTAATGATTCAGTGCTTTACCAACTGACCAATACAATTTTATGTAAGCATTGATTTCCAATCACGAATAATTACATCAAAATGTCGTGCGAACTAGACACACTACTTGTATTCTGGCATCGCTAGCTGTATGAACTAATATAGCCAATAACTACAACAATTACATATGTTTTTATCAGGAAACTAAGGTTTATAAACTTGAGGGGATCAATGCTTTTCTAATCCCCTAGGTGAGGCCCATTTCTACATACATCAACAGAACTTATGCATTAAGTTTGCCAACCACCTTGTTTTTAGCAGTAAAACACTCGCTACCTAGAGGCAGTAAAGGGGACTTCCCCAGGTGTATCAGAAATTTTTGGTGTGTTTACAACATTTGTTATTACCTGGCAACACGTCACTAATAATGCTGGAAACAGCGGCCGTTAAGTCCCAGTTATGGTCTTCCAGTATTGATATTGCATACGTGATATCTGTTAATCCAGTACACGCCTATAGAAGTCGAATAATATTAGGAAGCGCACGCTTAAAAATTTAATATTCAACTTACCAGAAAATTCTCAAGCATCGTATCCCTGTCCATTGCAGACAGATTAAGAGCTGACGCGAAATTGAAGCAACCTAAGATGGACTAAGACCAAATTCTATTAATTCATTATGCGCAAATCATCTTAATAGAGATATCTATGGTGAAATTGGAAAAATTTGAAGCCCTCAAGGTCACCGAATCCCCATGCTCAACTATTAAAGGGTCCAAATGGTTCAAATGTTTTGAGACGCAACAAAAGCTTTCGTCTAGTGCGCTTCCGTATCTAGTGGCAGAGGATCGCCGATGCCTCCAGGTAGAAGCCTAGGTATAGTTTACAGATGCGAGAGAAATAATAGTAGGTTATACTACAATACTGTCCTGAGTCCTTGATTCATTAAACGCATTATAATGGGACTTGTGAAGTCGTTAGCTGTGAACTCACTTTTGGAGGTTGTACGTTTATATTGAATGCCATCTATCGTAGCCAAATCTGTCCAGCTAATGGTGTTATTTTAAAGCACGCCTAGCTATGAACGCGATCTGGTAAACATGTTTGTAAACTGTGAGTCCATTACTATTTGAAACTTTACGTATCATTTCTTCACTTTAATTTTTACATATCGTGATATTTTTCAAATTTTTGGGTATTTCCCCCCCTCGTTCACTCCTATACTCCATATTCATCATGACTGAGCAAACTTTTTAGAATGTCAACGTGGCGTGCTTCTAATGGTCAGTAGCATAATGTCTTTTAGCGGATTGGCCAAAATATGATGTTGACATCTACAAATACCCGTGTTTTTTTTGTACAAGAAGGAACCTTCGAAGTAAAGTGTTTTTCAATTATTTTGCGCCTTTTCTCTCGAGTTCAGGTCGCTTGCGGGTTACCAGAATAGTTTAGGAACCGAATAAAACGTTCGAATTAATAAGACTTATCAAGATCGATCTAAACTACCAACAAATACAACATAAGTACCCTAAGATATACCAAATGCAGCAGAAATTGCAAAATGTAATTAGCAATGTTACACATTACACCACGACTGCAAGACCACCTGTATTCTCGAAAGCCCACTGACTAGTTCCTGAAAAGCTGAGGTTGGGAAAAAATGAATTCAGGCACATGATTAACATAGCAACTATTTGACCATCGCACAGCCAAAGGTTCATGAAAAGGACAACAGTGGTTAACGTCCGACTGTTGACTATCGAGGAGTGAATGCACAAACCATTCTTGGTTGTTACTCGTTGCCTCACATTCACAATTCGACAGCTACCTCAAAAGATACAACTGTGTTCACAAGAACCAGTCTGGTTAGAGCATAAAAACAAATTCCTATAACTGCAGACGATATTCACAAAATGGTTATCATCACTCCCAACAGACTCCATGAATTTTTGCAAATGCCTTTCAGTTTAAGAAATGCTGTACATACTTTCCAGAGATTCATCGAGTTGGAGGTCTCAAATCCCAACACCCAGATGCAGATGACTGCTTGATTGCAAGTTCAGAGAGAGAACCTCATCTCTAGCATCTGGACGTTGTCTTTGAACGACCACAAAAGCACGGCATTACTGGAAACATTCAGAAATATAAAATCGGCACAGACACTCCGGATGTTCTGGGATATACTATTGGTGCACAAGGCATCTGACCTCTAAAAAGGAAAGTGGTAGCCGTTCTTGACTACCCAGAGATGATCAATGTCACGCAGTTACATACACTAAACGGCCTAGTAAGTTTTTATCAATAATTCATACGGAATAACGCGTCTCTCATGAGTCCCTGAACCGACCAACTTTGCGGAAATGCAGAAATCATCAATTTGGATAACAACGCGAGAAAAGCATTCTTCAAGTTAAGGAAATTATCACAAAAGCAACCATGCTCAAACACCAAAACATTAAAGCACTCATCAGTACCTCAGTAAACGTGTCCCATACGGCAATCGGAGGAGCTTTACAACAGTGCGTTAACTACACATAGCAACCTTTAGCATTCTTTTCGAGACGGTCGCTAGACACTGAATCGAGTCATAGTACTTTCTGTAGAGAACTCCTGGTCATTTATTGTGTTGTGCGGCGCTCTCAACACCCTGTTGAAGGCCAAGAACTCACTCTATTCACCGACCATAAACCTCGTACCTTATCTCTGAGCTCATAACCAGACAAGTACTCTCCTGGAGAGTCTAAACAACTAGACTTCATTTCACAGTTTACTTCAAATATAAAGCGCGATTGTGGGCCAAACAATTTAATTGCAGACGCCTTGTCTTTTATGATGTTCTTGAACAGTTTCCAAGGAATAGACCTTCTTAAACTTGTCTAGCTTTGAAAAAGAAGGTTATGGTCTTCAGTGTCACTTTTCTTCGAGAATCCTCAAACCAGTGATCAAACAGATGGGAACAGTTAAGGAAAATTTACTGTGCGACATATCTAGAAATAGGGTTCGTTCAACCGTGCCGAAACTATCGATACAACATCTTCAATACGTTGCACAATGTTTATCATCCATTGGGCTCATCCTAAAAAGATTTCGCTGTCCTGATATGAGCAAAGATATGAGGGATTGGGGGCGCTCATGTGTACGCTGCCAAAAATTTGAGGTGATTATACGCAACAAATGTCCCTCATGCCCCCGATGCCCGTCTTGACGGCGTTCATCTTGATTCAGTAAGACCCTTACCAGATTCAAATGGACAAGTACCTTTTAACGCGTGTGGACTATTTCACACGATGGTCAGAAACAGTACGTAATAAGGACATTAACGCTGAAACAGTGACCCACCCCTCCCTCGAACGGTGAGTGGCAAACTTCGGCTACCCTCCAACTATCACTACATTGAGATGACCAAACCATCCATCTCGGAGAACAAAACTCCATAAGGAGTATCAATACATGTCGTCGACTCCAGCTCTAATGTGGACTTTTACCGTTGTCTCACTACACTACTAGGAACCACACGATTCCGAAAGACTGCCTACTATGCACAAAATATCAGATCGATAGAACGAGTTCACCAACAGTTAGAAGCTTTACTTGAAGGCCCAAACGTTTCACAGTGAACTAACGCTCTTCCACTCATGTTACTCACTGTTCGCAGTGCAGTGGAAACTGACGTTAGACATACTGCAGCACATCTCATTTACGGAGCGACACTCCGATTTCCAGAATAATTAATGGACCCTTCATCTTCAATGAATATGGATTTAAATTCCATCGAAAACGTGAGCACTGTCCAACTTAAAGTAAACTGTAATAATGTCGATTCTTCTCCTTTACGCCCGAAAGATACGAAACTCACAATTACGAAGCCTTCCCCGGTAATCAAGAATCATGACCAAACTTTGCTGGTAGCTGACCCAAGGAGAAAGGTAAGGTTTCCATAACATTCGGTCGACTACTACGCGTAGTACACTGCATAACTTTTGTTTTATCTCGCTTGTGCATATAAAAGAATGACGATCAGACGTCGTTGAACATGGCGAGCCGTCGGAAGAGTGTCTACAACGGTAAGATTGCTGACTTTAAACTCATGGCTGGCCGCGTTTTAAGGTCATCACTACCCCACTACGAGAGTGCACTTTAGTGGTATATAAATCTCAAAAATGGAGAGTTCTGTATGTTTCCAACAGTTTCACCAAGTGGCCCGTCGCATAATATTATTGTAACGTTTATCCAATATTATATTTTTAGTACAATATGGAATTCTCAGCACAAAGTATTTCAACAAGTTTCCGTTTCTTACTTCTTGGTCGATCCTCCCGAAAAATATTGAGTGATCGCCAAATACATATTAGCAGTCCAATAAATGAACATCTGAATAATGTATATTCTTTTCGCTGCATATTGCCAGTGACCACATTATCTCTTATTGGGCTTTTTGTAACTTTGACAACGAAAAGTTGTACACTTTTCAAAAATGCACCAGGATGTATTAGGCGATTAATAGACATAATGATACATTAAAACAAAGAAAAATAGATAACTTGTTGAAATATCTAGATGGCATGAACAGGTAGCTCAGATGCTTAAGCAGGCCGCGAGGTTCTAGTGAAAGGCATTTCAGCTGAAAATGTTGATACCACATTCCTGAATTGATGGATTTCTACAGCCACTTTTGACAAACACACACAGTTCTAGTCGCACGTCCTTACTAAATGTACACGTTCTAGACGTCTATCACATCACCATAACAGCATACCATTCAGCAGCAAATGGACTGGTGGAGGGATTCCACAGACAACTATAAAACTGACCAGCAGCACAACCTGATATTATCGAGAACCACACCACCGCCACCTGGATCTGCCGACATACGGGATAAGGGTTTTGGTATTTACTTAGGAACACAGGTCAGACTACGATCCCCAGACAGACGTATGTGTGGTTTGAGTGCTGGACCAAGTCGTGGATGAAGTAGAGGTTGAAAGAGACAGATGTACTCTGCAACAGATCCATCTACATAAACGGTTAACCTTAGATCGCCCGGTGACAAACAGAAATATCCAGTTCGACACTGTATTAAATAAGATCAACCTACGCCCCGTTCCCGGTGAAGAGACAGGTCCGTAAACAAATAAGCCTAATTCCAGGAAGTAATCACATCAACAACTGTGACAAATGGCGACGATGCGCGTGAACCATATGAATATACGCTGCTAAGTAAAGAGGCACTGGGAATGGTTAATACACAGAAATCATTCAGTAAACTACTCACTTTGTAATTTACCTATGGGAATTTGCATTTCTCCTTTTCCTCCTAAATGTACCATTTTTACCTTTATTTCTGTTTCCCACCTGGAAGAACCTTGAACGTCGTTGATTAATTTTCTCTCTTTGTAGGCTATTTTATGACGTTTTCCAAAGTCATTTCAATACTGCGTATATACACACCAGTTGTGTGCTTGTTGCTCGTTGTTCTGGGATAATTGTGGAATTATATATTTCCCCGGCTGAATCTGGTTTTCTTCCTCCAGTTAGCAGGGCCGGAGTGTGGAGATATGACTGAGATCGTCATTTTGTTGTGTTGCTGATTTTCGTTCGCCGAACATAACAGGTTCCAAGCATTTATTACTCGACAAGAAGTGCCATACCCCGCAGCTTTTTTATTCGTTTATCGTTTCTGAACTTGCTTGTCGTGTTCTCCGAGTTATTGTGACTGTGATGCAAACATGGGAATATATGAGGTTGAAAATGAGGTATACATTAAGATTGAATCACTTCGTAGTCTGCGTCAAGATAGAATAAGGAGGACTGACGATGTTTAAGTGCAGCAATATCCTGCCTACTACCAGT